GTTTGGCAAACATAACTAAATTAGTTAAATATATGTAAATAGTTTTTTTGTTTTTTTAAGGGGGGAAAATCATCGAATGACTGCGCCCGCCTGGGTGAGGCGGGAGGGAGTGTCAGACTCTTACTGAGTAAAAACCACCCCGTTCCTTCTCCTGCACGTCGAGCCGGAGCCCCGGTTACCCGTTAGGTTCTCCGCGACATATGTAAATAGTAATTAAACAGTGCAGTGGTTGGCGAACTAAGGATCTTGTCTTCGATTTTCAGATCGGGTAGTTACATATTTTTATGATTTTTTAGGGACTAGGTAATTGAATAGAAAAGGTCTGTGTTGAAAATTCTATTTGCCTACTATAATAGTACTAAGATTAGACTAGTTAGGCATAATATTATACCTAGATGCAATGCAAGCTAAGTTGTACGTAAGTCACGATTCACGACACTACTTCTCAATCATGATCGGAGTTAAACCCGTTTTGGTATATTTATAAGTTTGCAGACTAGATCTAGTACTTGCTAGTAATATATTTCGATCCTATGATAGAATCCGGTGAAGGAAAACATCACGAGGAAACTTGGGTTTAAACTGTCAAACACCGAGCGGTTACCGGTGACCGCAACTATTGTTCTTTAGAGGTAAACTGTCAAACACCAAGCGGTCACCGGTGACCGCAACCTATTGTTCTATAATTGTGTCTACAAAACCGGTACTCGACGAGTCTATAATGACGGTAATCAAAGGGTTAATTTGAAACTAAATTATAAGTTTGAAATCGTTAACCCGCCTTTTTTATGGAATAGGAGGCAACCGAGCAGACGGATCACCTGATGGTAAGCGATGAGCGCCGCCCATGGACACTCGAAACACCAGAGGAGTCACAGGTGCGTTGCCGGCCTTTTAAAAATGAATACGCTCTTTTCTTGAAGGTTTGAAGGTCGTATCGGTTCGGAAATACCGCCGACGAATTGAACAAGCCTGGTGATTAATGCTCAATCAAACCTTCTCCGAGTGAGAAGAGATGTTTAGTCAGTAGTGTAGGTACCTAGGCTGTTATGATGATGAATCGTATGACAATAAACGATTCTTGTATTCTAGTGATAACTAGTGATAATTCTGGAAAGAAGTATATAGAGCGGATATTAGTGGGACCGTCGGTAGAGGGCACCCTAGACGGACATATATACTGACCAGATTGGCGATATATTAAAGAACGGCCAAATTAAAAGTACCCTTAACCGACGAGCATGCATGAAAAGACGAATGACTGTTGATGAAGCGAAAGAGGTATGTAGGAATCTTAGCAAATGGCGTTCCATAGACTCTGCCTACCCCCTTGGAAGACAGGCGTCAAGTTACGTATGTATTATGTAATTTTTACAAGTATTAAATAAATTTGATTCATAATCTAATTATACATTCAGCTCGTTAAACTTCAAGGTACGCCTGACTCAGGAGCAGGCGCACTATGATGACTATATTTAAAAAAAAATAACTCTAGCTTGCTTTTGGCCTGCAGTTTCACCCGCGTACAGGACTCTTCAAATAAGTAGCGAACTTGTAGGAATATCTGGAGGAAATATATAGCCTATATTACTCCCTGAAACACAGGATTTCTATTGGTGAATGATGTTTTCCAATTGGTCCCGTAATTTCGATGATATTATTATTTCCCAAACAAAAATTTTAGAGGCATATCTGGATGAAAGTACAGCCTATTTCACTCCGTGAAACATAGGATTTCTTATGGTGAATGATTTTTTCAAATTGGTCCCGTAATTTCGATGGAATGTAAACAAAAAATCATTACGTTATCTTTCTTCTCTCAGTCTAAAAAAAGATACTTTTATTTACAAATAATAAACTGAAATAACATAATTATAAATAAATAGGTATATACAACTTAAAGTTTACTAAAACAATGACAAAACCTAGATAAAAAAAAAAGTAAAAAAAAGATCAGGCGTCTAAGAATTCGTCCGCATCACTGTCTCTATCAGTTAATTACGGAAAACGACTTTATTTACAAAGGTATAAAAGTCATTTTTATGTCCTTATTATTACTTGTGTAATGTTACATTATTAATAATTATTCTATGTAACACATTTTTTTATCTGTAACTTAGAATATGCAAGCAACGCCATCTAGTATCAAAATCTGAACTAAATCACGAGAAATATAAGTTGACCTTTTCTTATTAGTTTTTTATTTATAGATGCATGTTTAATATTTATGAGTGTACAGTAATATGTTATTTAAGTTATGATTCATACAATTGTATACTAAAATGTCTTCGTGCAAAGTAAATAATTGTAAAAATATTTGTAAATGTAGTAAACACATGAAAATAATGTTTTGTTTCTCCGAAAAACATTAGCGTGTGCATTCTTTATGTAAATAATACACAGGTCAGATATTTAAAATAATATGAATAGTCAGAATAACTAGTTTTAGCATATTTTTATAGAGGAAAATACCTACTTAAAAAGAAAGAAATATTATATCGCGACATTAGGTATATTTGGGACACACCTAAATTAAAATTTAATTTATTAAAATAACAAGAAGGCACATGTAAAAAAAACACCAAGCACAATAAAATAATATCTACCTGGCATATTATAACTACAACATCCTAAAAATTAAATAAAAAAATACCGCAAAATAAAAACAATAATGAAAGGCATACAAACTTTTTGTCGTCGAAACTTCACGCCGTAACTGTATGCAAATACCTACTACGAATTCCAATGTATGGTCATAGAATTGGACGCATGCATCGAATTTTAATCAACTGACCTTTTTCAATAGAAAGTTATACTTACTTAAGGGAGACAATCCTGTTATCACATCCATTTTCCCAACAAAACACAATGAACATATGTTTTTTTCACTCTATATGGATGTTTCAAACGGTCACCCATTTCTTTGACACTATTTCGCACATGAAAACAACAAAACAAAAGTATTGTAACACATTATTGTACAGCTAAGAACAAATGTCACTGATTGTACATTTTTTTCCTGATTTATGATCAAATCAGTACACTATCACAATCACAAGTATCATTCACCCGAGGTTTGCAAGTCGCAATGACAATCACACGTTCCCTTTAACAAAATATTAGGTAAAATCTCTTAAAACACAACTAAAACTTAGTTATTCGCACTTTAGAATAATTGTTAAAAGTTTATCTATTAGAATTTCACGTTAAAATCACATAAAACCCGTTCCCCGAATCGCACACGACACAAAAACATAAGAAACGTCATTCCACTACGAGCAAACAGGTTTTGTTTTTTTTCTTCTCGCTCGAGTACCACGTGACAGTATCGAGTTTAACGACGTAGTTCGCGGGTGGATAACTAGATGGCATCACGTGTAGCAAAGCAAATCACACTCGAAAGTAATTAATTTCGAGCGCTCAGTATTAAGATTACTTCTTCACGTGAATCGACCATGGCAATTTTATTGGCATTCTGAATATTTTCGTTTGAAATGAATTTCATTTTATGTTGATTACAAATATCGACGATAACGCGCCACCAGGCGACTTTTAAACGAAATGTTTTATGTACAGTTTAAATAAAGGTCAAATTCTGGTACATTGTAATTTTGAACTGATGTACCGACGATTATTAGCCGAAAAGGTCAAATTTAAACTGTGTGGAGAAATATTGGATAGTAGGAGTAATTACATAGAGTTCATTTTCGATTTTAATATTACGATCATAATTACCAGCCGGCATCTATCCTAGGACGATTTTATATGGGACTCGGAAAGCCAAACTCAATGCAATTTAGTTCATTAAATATCCCGCAATACGGATGCATATACGGGCGCTAGTGTTGCAACTCAAGAGTAAGAAATTTTACAATATCATTGTCGATCGATTGATGATCGATAAAAAAAATATATAAAGCCGACTTCAACCCGCTCTTTTTTGAATTATATTAATTAACATACTAAAACATTCTAAGACAAGGTTTAACAACAATTTTCTGAAAACCGCATCAAAATCGGTGCAGCCCATCGCATGATAATCGTGCACACACATACTTACTTACATACAGGTCGAACTGAGAACCTCAATTTTTTTGAAGTCGGTTGATAACGTAAGGAGCTTATTCAGAAGTGTGGGAGAGCCATGCTTCGGCACGAATAGGCCGGCTCAACCGGAGTGATACCACGGCCTCACAGAAAACCGACGTGAAGCAACGTTGCGTTATGTTTCGTCGTGTGAGTGAGGTTACCGGAGGCCCAATTACCCTCCCCTTCCCCAATCTCCCCAATTCTCTCCCAACGGTCCTCAAACTCCTAATCCCCAAAAGGCCGGTAACGCACTTGTAACGCCTCTGATGTTCCAGGTGTCCATGGGCGACACCGATTGCTTACCATCAGGTGATCCGTCTGCTCGTTTACCGGTTTATGCCATAAAAAAGACATCCTATTATTTAATAAAAAGAAAAAAAACATTGTTGAAGTAGGTACATATGTTTTTATTTTTAAATTATTGGCTAATATAATGTCAAATATTATACATAATATTTTTATGACACATAAATGTAATACATACTATTGTTTTATGTACAATTTACTGGCAATAAAAAATAAGTAAAATAATACAGAATGCCTTTATTTTTTTTTTGAAACAAAATTTAACTATAAAACTTTAATTGACTGCTTTGTTGATCGTTGGTGAAGTGGGTGCAAGTGCGACTGCCGAAGAAAAGGTCGGCAGTCGGATAGGACTAAAAAAACTACTAATTATTATGGGATTTTCTCGAAAATCCCATAATAATAACCAGTGAAAAAAGTGGGTGTTACATTGTTTAATGACTTAAACGACCGGTTGGTCTGCAGTCCCATCGGGTTCAGAGACTGTGTTCTCCTTTTTTACAACGTCCTTGGACCCACAGACCTACACCAAGGTTCCAAGGAGGTCCATTGACTCCACGATTGTATGTCATATCGTTGCCTAGCAACGCTCAAACTATTTTGACAGTTACCATAGCAACGATTTGTATCAACTCGACTGGATTTTTTCTTTTTCACGTGGTGAGTTTTTTCATATGTTTGATTTAAAATTCCATGTTAATGAAATATTATTAAAGTGTTATTAATCCGAGTTAAATTGTAATGTAAGTAGTTTAAAATTTTAGAGTTAATGTAGGCCGATCTGGACATCATTGGGGAAAGCCTATGTTCAGCAGTGAATGTCTTGGCGGCTGATATAATCTATCTGTTTATGAAAATGAAACCCGTTTCCCATTGTCACGCCATAACTTGAGAACGACTAGACCGATTTGGCTGATTTTTTTGTTGTGTTTATTATTATCAGGAGAAGGTTCTTATGACAGAAAATAGTCCTGAAAATCCTACGGAAACGGGACAAAAACGGGATTGCGCGTACGAAGTCGCGGGCAGATGCTAGTGATAATGATACATAAATAATAACGTAGCGATGTGCTATTGGTAACATCTTTTTCTAAGATAGCGTGCAAAATTGATCAGACGAATCACCTGATGGTAAGCAATCGACATCGCCCATGTCCATGGGCAACGCACTTGTAATTCCTCTGTAGGGTGTCCACCCCACAGAGGAATTACAAGTGTTACAAGAATTACTAGTCTTTTGAGGGTCAAAAAGTGGGAAATTGGGCCTCCAGTATCCTCATTCACACGTCTGTACACATTACAAGAGTAGTTTCACCTGGGTTTCCTGTGAGGCTGTGGTATCACCCCGGTTAAGTTAATCCTTTCCTGTTGAAGCATGGCTCTCCCACGGGTAAAAGACAATTTGTCCAATTGTAGATTGATGATGATGATGATGTAATTTGAATAGTATAGCTTAATAACATAACAGGGGTAGGCAGAGGTGCACACAAAGGCACTTATTGCCACTGTACAATGTAACACCTACTTTTCACTATTTATGTTATGAGCCCCAAGTAATAGGGAATTAGCCTATTTTTTTATGGAATAGTAGGCAAACGAGCAGGCGGACCACCTGATGGTAAGCGATCAGCGCCGCCCATGGACACCCACAACACCAGAGGAGTCATAGGTGCGTTGCCGGCCTTTTAAAAAGGAATACGCTCTTTTCTTGAAGGTTTTTTTATTGTCATATACCGGACATATTTCCAGACTCCGTGATACTACTGAGATTTTTTAAAATACTTTGCCCGACCCTGAATCGAGCCCGAAACCCCTTGCCCGGCAGTCGCACTTGCAACCACTCGGCTTATGAGGCAGTCAGAGTTAATAAAGATATTTATATCTTCCAGCGAGTAGAATCAAATAAGTCAAGATGCCGGAGCTGATAGAGCAGATGTACAGCTCCCAACAAATTGTGATACCGCCCAAGTATCCCTATATTCTGAAGAGATATTGTAAAGGTATGTTTTAGCTCAGTTATTTAAGTAAAAAATTCGCTTTGTGAACAATAAGCAAGTTTTTCTTAGACAAAAGAAGATATTAATACAAAAAGGGGTAAAAAAATCTTTTCACATTAATTATCTATATCTTTATATATTTAATTATTTCGTGCGCGTTTGAGTGGCGCCCTGGATGGTTTAGATTCACAAACCAGCCCGGCAGATGGCGCTGCAGTAGATGTTTTTTTTTAAAGGGGGGAAAATCATCGAATGACTGCTCCCGCCTGGGTGAGGCGGGAGGGAGTGTCAAACTCTTACTGACTAAAAACCACCCCGTTCCTTCTCCTGCACGTCGAACCGGTGTCTGGGTTAGTTATCCTAAACGGCTGAACTAATTTGAATGAATTTTTGTTTATACATTCAAGTGAATCATACTGGATATGCAGGAAAACGTCTGTCGGGTCCGCTAGTATATACATATATAAAAATGAAACCCGTTTCCCGTTGTCACGCCATAACTTGAGAACGGCTAGACCGATTTGGCTGATATTTTTTTGTTGTGTTTATTATTGTCAGGAGAAGGTTCTTATGATAGAAAAAAGTCCTGAAAATCCTACGGGAACGGGAGATAACGGGATTGCGCGTACGAAGTCACGGGCAGAAGGTAGTAATATTATAAATGTGAAAGTTTTTTGTTTGGATGTTTGTCCGTTAATCACGCTGGAACTACTGAACGGATTTTGATGAAATTTGGTATACAGGCACTGTATGAGCTGACTTAAATGTTAGGATACTTTTTATCTTGATTAAATGCTCCCATGGGATGAAACAGGAATCATATTTTAAGCGGACGAAGTCGCGGGCAAGAGCATTAGGACATTTCTCTATACTTGATAGGACTCATAGGACGTATGGCGTATCTCGCCTGGTGTAATGACAATGACAGTAATGATGACATGAACTTAACGACTTTTAACCTCAACTGACTAATGACACAATATAACATCACGCCTCTTTATCCCCAAAGAAATAGGCAGTGGTGCACATTACGGCACTTAATGCCACTGTACATTGTAACACCCACTTTTCACTAATTATGTTATGAGTCCCATGTAATAGGGGATGAGCCTATTGCCATATACCGGGCTCAAATCCAGTGTCCGTGCTACTTACTATTGAGATATTGTTAAATCCTCAGTATTACTTTGCCTGACCCGGGAATCGAACCCGAAACCCCTTTATCGGCAGTCGGGGATAAAAGGCGTGATGTTATGTTATGTTGATTAGACATATCGTAAAAAATATGTATGACAAGGGGACGGACTAAGAGTCCGTGGAGAATTAATATTTAACACTGAAAAATAACCTCAACTGACTTAGTGGAATGAAAGTCATAATTGATTACTTACAATATAATTATTATATTTCTCTATCTCCCATTAGCGGCTATAAAAACTCAACCTTACGATCTCCTGAGATGGTCCTTCGAGTACTTCAAAGCCCTATCAGAGCATCGACCACCCCCAGTCAAGCTACGACTGGAGTACCCCATCTACAGCACTGAAGGGGGACTTACAAGAGGATGCCTGAAGGTTTTGGCTCATCAGGTATTGTATAGACGCCAACATAATATTAAGATTTTTTGTTGTCGTGAGCTTACGGCTGGCCTGATGGTAAGCAAACACTGCAGCCCAAGGTGTACTTGGTCCCTTAAAGGGGGATATTTTTATCCTGTTGTTTAGTCTTATTACATCCTTACTAATATTATAAATCGGAAAGTGAGTTTGTTTGTTTGTTCTGCTTTCACGCATAACTACTAAACCGATTGCTTTGAATTTTTGCAGATGTATAGTTAGAAGTCCGGATTAAATAATAGTACTTTTTATCCCGGAAAAATTTGATATTCCCGAGGGAAAACAAAAGTATTGGTATAGATGGCGCTGAGTGTATTGGTAAATGTCACATTGGCTTTTTATCCTTTTGTGACGCGAGCGAAGCCGCGGGTAAAAGCTCATAAACTAAACACAGTTCCAGATGTGCTATTGCACATTAGTCTTAGAACTGTGTTAGTTAGTCTAGAAAAAGTGAAGAAGTGGAACTCAAGCCAACTATTCGGTCAAACTGATTAACGACACATAATATTGTAACTCTGTTGGTGTTACTTAATCTGTTTATTTCCTCACTATCCTATAAAAAACTACGACTTAACAGTTATTTTGTTCGAAACATACCAATGGGACTTATATGTGATTTCTAAGATCGTTTAGACGCCACTGACAAACTCAAACGGCGAAGGAAAACATGGTTAGGAAAAATATCAAGCCGAATTAGGCATGAATGGTCATTAATGCTCAAACCTTCTCCGTGTGAGAAGAGGCGTTTGGTCAGCAGTGGCCACTTATAGGCTGTTGATGATGTTGATGAAATTATATTAAGGATATTTATTTTCCAGCTATATGGCATGTCAGAAATTCCGACCGCAACCTTAAGGCAGGCATGGAACGGTTTTTGCCTGGACTTTATGGAGCTGCAGAGGATCCTGTGTCTTTGTGAGGTCCACCTGAGGAAGGATCATGTACCATTCTTCCATTTCCTGGCAGTCGCTGGTGGAATGCTCACCAAGGTTGGTTTTATCTCGCTAGTGCGTATCTCGTAGTACGTAGCCCGTAGTGCGTAGCTCATAGTGCGTAGCTCATAGAGCGTAGTTCGTAGATCGTAGTGCGTAGCTCGTATTGCGGATGTCGTAGGGCGTAGTGTGATCGCAGTATACTTTATCATTTTGTCATTTATCATCATGGGTTTGATCTTTTAAAATCAAATGACGATTTATTGCATTTTCTGGTGTTGACATCACAACACAATTTACTAATTTCATTTGATTCTTAACATCACAATCATTTATGTAGTTGGTCCTCTAAAGGTTGAACGATTAGCATTAGATCATCGCAGGAAATGATGTTGTTTGTCAATTAATGATTTTTATTGTTTAAGTAAATTCGTGGTAAATTAATTCCGTGTCTCCTATTTCCTAACACGTTTAGTGACTTTTATTTGAGTAGTCGAATTTATACTTTTACATCAAAATCTAACGAAATTATTGATAATAATCTACAGTGCAAAATGCTTATTCTGTTTATTCAAGGAAGGGGTCCTCGGTTCGAGTTCTGGCTTGGACACAGCAAATGGTTTTATATCGAACTCACAACATAACTGTTACATACATGGTTTTACTTTGTTTGTAGCCCTTCCCATAAATCCCCAAGCGGTCACCGGTGACCGCTTTCCACTAATATTACATTATAGACCTTATTTGTAATGTTTAGAGAATACTTTTGTATGACCAAATTTAGGGGATGGATTTCAACGGGTTAATTTACCGGGACACCATGGCGACGCAACCAGTTGCCGCTACCAACAAAATGTATATAGCTCTATAGAAAGTTACTCCTGGTGTCCGGTTGGTTGTCCACCAATCTGACAGCGTAACCAGCTCAGACGGCAGCATTAGAAGTCTAATTTAATATTGTCGCAGTGCGATTTTTGTATATGGTGTCTCGTTTGGTAGCTTACGTACACCACGGTGACACAATTGGTTGCGCTGCCATAGTGACCTGGTGAAATATAGCCCAATAAGCACATGCCTTTCTTTTCTTTACCCGGATTTAAAGATGTGTCATTTTGTACGTAATTCAACTATATATTTTCTTATACAGTGTCTGACCCACACCATGATCTTACTCTGTGAGTCTCTAACCAAGGAGCCTGATGGTGGGTCAGCAGCTATACCAGTTGAGGAGTTTCTCACCATGTACAAGTACCTAGCTTTGATAGATGCCTCCAAAGATGTGCAGTACCATAATGGATATAGAGACGGTTAGCCCAATTTAATTTTTAAGGTAGTTAAATATTCTTAAGAAGGTTGCAACGCACTCAGGACTCTTCTGGTGTTGCTGGTATCAATGGGTGGCGCTGATCGCTTACCATCAGGTGACCCATCTGCCCCCTATACCATAAAAAAGATTATTTTGGCAAAGGTAGTACAGGCCTTCAGTTAGTTGGAGTGATGATATCCGTTATGTGGAGGAGTTGAAGATCGAGGTCTGTGTAGTGCAGGGAGCAGTGGAGGGAAGCGGACTGTTATGAAATTATCTGTAAGCCAAGCTAAGATACGTTTGGCAAGTTATCGCCCCAATTCTTTTATTAAGAGCCGTCTAAAATACTACACTTTGACACAAACTGAACATCGACAGTCCAGTCGTGAATTGTTACGACCTCAGAGGTTGGATAGATGGTTGGCTTTCCAGTTTTCTTTATACATGGGTACGTGATAGGTCGACGTTTGACCACTATGTATCTCGCCTGGTGGTAAGCGATGATGCGACGATGGAGCAAACCTATTCATTTGAGCTTTGAAGACGCCCTGGTTTTATCCTGTTATTTTGTTACATACCACTGAATTATGGCATAAACCTATGGGTTTCTAGGTGTCCAGACGTAGGTATGTAGACGAAAACTGGTCATTGATGCTTACTTTTGAAACCAATCTCAATGTCAATGCAATTTCAATCCAATAAAATCTCAACAATTATTCAATGTCAAAAATAGGGGTTGTATAAACAAACCCTCCCTTAGCTGTTGAAATAGCATTAAGAGTACGGAATATAAAGCCAAACTCAATACCATTTAGTTCACTCAATATCCACGCAATACGGATGCAATGGGCGCTAGAGTTGCAACTTGAGAGTACGTAATTTGACAATACCAATGTCGATCGATCGGAATTGGATTCAAGAGTAAGCCCCCAGATGGCCTGATACTTGAAAGATAATAATGTACCACTCATTGTAGGTAATGAGCCCGAACCGGTGGTGGAAGAAGAGGAAGAAGTTCGTCCAGAATCTGAACCGGTGAGTTGCTGAAGTCTGTACCGTAACTATTGCGGGAGAAATGTCTAATCAGGTTTTTTTAATTCTTAGTGGAAGTTTAGAGTATGGAATTTTGCAATAGGTTCGCCCCCTTTTTACACGGGACTCATATCAAAACTGGCGATGAATGCAAGCTACGATAAATATATGTACGTCAGTCTACGTTGATAGAATAGATTTTTCCATATCTACCTGTAGCAGGTTTAAGTGTGGGAGAGCCATGCTTCGACACGAATGGACCGGCTCGACCGGAATGATACCACGGCCGAGCAGAAAACCGATGTGAAACAACGCTTGCGTTGTGTTTCGTCGTGTGAATGAGGTTACCGGAGGCCCAATTCCTGAATCCTCAAATTCCTAATCCCCAAAAGGCCGATAACGCACTAACACTTCTGGGATTTCGAGTGTCCTAGGGCGGCGACAACTGCTTACCATTAGGTGATCAGTCTGCTCCTTTACCGGCTTATACCATAAAAAAGTTATTTAGTCTAGTCTTCTGTAATAGTTCTAAATCATTCAATATAATTCTTCTTCAGCCCGAATCTGAAGTAGAGGACGATTATTGGGATGACCAGGACCTTCAAAGGCTGTCCGTGATAGATGACCATGTCGCTAAGACAGCCAGGCTGAGTGTGAAACTCAACCTCCCTACTATCGGCAAGATAGAAAGATCTCCCTCTATTGAACGGCTGACAGAAGTAGAAAGAGAAAATTATATGCGGGAGAGAATTGGTTATCCTTCTTCTTTTTTAAAGTAGAGTAGTTTAAGTGGGAGAGTAGAATACATTTGTCAATTCTCCTACTCTTTTGCTGTTGTAAGAGATGAATAAGAAATATCGAATATTCGGTCATTTGATAGGGATGGGATAGTAGCGCTCTCTGATAAACCCGAACCTTTGAAATTGGGGTTTCCAGCCTGCTTGCCAAGTAAGGAGATTATTGCTAACCTTCTTATGTAGATGATGCTCATAGTGCAACAGGGGACTTCCAAAGACTGTTAACGATGACAATGAAGTAAAATAGAAGAGTAAAGTATCAGAATTTGATTTGAACGCTATATAATTCTTAGCCTTAGACTGCGTCGTTGGCCGAGTGGTCGCAAGTGCGATTGCCGAGCAAGGGGTCTCGGGTTCGATTGCCGGGTCGGGCAAAATATGGTTTTTAAAAAAAATCTCTGTTGCACGGAGTCTGGAATTGTGCCGGGTATATGGTAATAGGCTCACCCCCTATTACACAGGACTCATAACATAAATAGTGAAAAGTGGGTGTTACATTGTGCAGTCGCATTAAGTGCTGTAATGTGAACCTCTGCCTACCTTCGGGGATAAAAGGCGTAATGTAATGTTATGTAATAATTCTTAGCTCAATTTATTTAGAACATTTTGGGGAAATTCGGGGAATTTTAAGTTTTAAAATCTTTATTTGTGCTGATTTTCAGGAAAACCTATGCCGGACGAGGAGATTGATGTTAGTTCATATTTTGTATTGCCTAAGTTACTTACTCATAGTTAGCTGTATACAGCCTCCTTGGTACCGTAATCGTAGAACTATTTAAATACCTATCGGTGAAACATGGACGTAATATAATTAAAAGAATCTAATTTGTTCAATTATGCCTATGTGATAGTAGAGAGCGTTAAAGGCATGTTGGCATAAATCAATAATTTTTTTATTTTTTTTACTTGCCCTTTTGTTTCCAAATGTAGGATAATAGTTGAGTTTTCGACTGTTATAATGTACAGTTGCCAGCACATTAATTTATAATCATGTGTAAATTTTTGTCATCCAATTTCGACTTTATAAAGTCAAACTCAAAGTCAAAGCATTTATTTCAATTATACCATAATTTGGTACTATTGAAACGTCAACAAATACAAAATAAATAATAAATAATAGTCTGTCAGTCAGTCCTTCAGTGAAGCTAGTTGCTCATTCCAAATTGTAGATTCGAATGGAGAAGAACGAGCAAGAAACTCCATTCGTTATTATTTAGACTATAGAGTAGAGTAGAGTAGAGTATAATAATAGAGATAAGGGTACCTAGGTTGACCTGCTACCCACTGCACTAAACTGATACCGGTATATGCTGATGCTGGTACCTGATGCTGGCATATGAAAAGTGTCTCCTAAACAAAGTGTAGAAACAGAACTGAGTATACTACATTTCGAGTTATATGTACTTTCTTAATCTTAATAAGCTTTTATTTAGACACCACTGATGAACGGTACAAGAAAACATCGTAAGGAAACCTAAGCTTATGATTTGTAAGTTTGAAATCGCCAACCCTCATTGAACAAGCGTGGTGATTACTCAAACCTTTTCCGTGTGAAAAGAGGCCTTTGGTCAGCAGTGGCCACTTATAGGCTGTTGGTACTATGTAGTTAGACTAGTGTTCAACTACTTTGAGATTTATATTCGTGATATTAAGTCAGGACTGCATGGTTGGTGCGGTGGCTGGGCAACCAGCTGCCGTGCAACGTGTCGCGGGTTCAATTCCCGCACGGAACAACACTTTGTGTGATCCACAAATTGTTGTTTCGGGTCTGGGTGTCATTGTGTATGTGAACTTGTATGTTTGTAAACCCACCCACGACACAGGAGAAAATCCTAATGTGGGGCAACGATTTTTCTAAAAAAAAAATGTATATTTGGATTTCAGAAAAAACTGAGACATCTCAGTATTACGAAAATGAACGAATCAGCAGTGATGAAAACCGGTGAGTGTAATTTGACATTTCTTATTCCATTTTTTATAATTTTAATATACCTCTAACATAGTTTTAATGCAGATAATAGTGGATGTTGCATATAATATTTGGACCTCTGCAAACTCATTTGGGGAATTAAAGGTGTGAAGTTCACATTATGACCGCCTCGTTGCCCGAGTGGTCGCAAGTGTGACTGCTAGGCAAGGGGTCTTGGGTTCGATTCCCGGACCGGACAAAGAATTGCTGGGTTTTTAAAAAAATCTCAGAAGTAGCACGGGGTCTGGAATTGTGCCCGGTATAAATGGCAATAGGCTCACCCCCTATTACATGGGACTCATAATGTAAATAGTGAAAAATGGGTGTTACATTGTACAGTAGTATATAAGTGCCGTAATGTGTGCACCTCAGCCTACCCCTTCTGGGAAAAAAGGCGTGATGATGATGAAGTTACATTATGCAAGTAAATTAATTTATTAATATAATGTGCAGAGCGCACGATGTGGACACACACCAGAGTATGACAGATAGTGCCGTCTGTTGATCTTATATACTACAATCTATTGAGGGGGCCATACCTAACGTGACCATTTATTTTCTGTGCCAAAGCGAGACAACTGAGGAATTAATAGTTCTAAAAACAAAACCTCCGGAATTATGAAATAAAACAAAATTTTGGGAGTTTTATAAGTTTATAGAAGATTGAATAACACACATCAAAGCACTAAACACAAAACAGTTAAGTAGTGGGGTATTTTCTAAGTCGTATTTTTGTATTTGTCGCACTGTGTCGCCCGCACAGTTGTTACATTTTAAAAACGATAGATGCATTCTTATAGCTGAAGCGGGACATTTTCGCTCTTGCGGGGGACAGCGGGACGAACAGTCTGAAAGCGGGACAGTCCCGCCCAAAGCGGGACGTATGGTCACGTTAGCCATACCTCATCACGATAGTAGTGATGTTAATACATACATGTAACACTTATTACATATATAACTGCTGAAATTTGTAAATACGTGTTTTTTAACTGCTGTGAATAAATAGCTTCACACTGCTTGTTTGATGTTCTGATTTCGCACTCCAATAGGATAGTTTCCAAAATTTTGTTTAATGTCCGTCTGGTAGATTATGTTAAAAAATTACACACGTACTTTTCTTTTTTTACAGAATGCTTTTGACCTAATGTTGATTTAAAATATCGTGTGACGTCACGAGGACCGCCGTTTTATACGAACGTGGGACGTAGCGACCTCCCACTCCTAAACAAAAATACGTTATTTTAAATAAAAAATACGCGTCTCTAATGCTACATACACACTCTCGCGCGAGTCGAGACGAGGCCGAGATACATTGACGTTATTATAAATGAGTTGTAGACCTTCTCGCATTATAAGACTGTAATGTACCTCAACCTCGTGTCCGCTCGCGCGAGAGTGTGAATGTAGCATAATAATTTTTTTCATTATCTAACTGACGGACAAATTTGAGTATTAATTTTAACTGTCAACTACCCAATTGGTAGAATTATTGGGCACATTATTAAATATTTCGACTTCCAAAATTCTGTAAAATAGCGTTGACGTGTATCCCAACCTCTTTACTTGTACTCTTGACCACTTTACTATCGATCCTTGTGATAGGGTGCTTACTCTTGAATCCAATTCCGATCGTTCGACATTGGTATTGTGAAATTTCGTACTCTCGAGTCGCAACACTTGCGCCCATTGCATCCGTATTGCGTGGATATTTCATGAACTAAATAGTATTGAGTTTAGCTTTATATTCCGTACACTGAATGCTATTTTAACAGCTACGATAGGGGTTGTGTAGTTTTGACATTGAACAAATATTGAGATTTTATTGGATTGAAATTGCATTGACATCGAGATTGGTTTCAAGAGTAATCACCCAGATCGATCGGATTCAGAATATAAAAATTGTTGGGGATTCAGTGATTTGGGAGGTTAGGGCGGAAGTTAATTGGGCCTCTGGTAACCTCACTTACATGACGAACAACAACGCAACTGTTGTTTCACGTCGGTTTTCTGTGAGGCCGTGGTATCACTCCGGTCGAGCCGGCCCATTTTGTTATGTGCCTCACTAACCCTTATGTTATAATTACATTACTAAAAATCCTATAAAGTACGTCATTTTAGTTCCTTTTAAGTACCATATACCAGTTTGACGAGTAAGAAGCCGTATGTTTGTTACATAGAGACCACAGTTGAGCCGGAGGTGGAAGTTGAGGAAAAGAGGGACGTGATAGACATATATGTCTATGACGAAGAAGATAACCCTGTCGTTTATGAATTATATGGTTTATACAGTTTTATTTATTTAACTACCAGTCGCATTTTGCAGATATCTGAAGTCAATGTGTTAATACACATAGGTCAAATAAATATTTATGAAACAGGAGATGGAAATATAGAAATTTTCAATAAAGGTTAAGGTCTTCGTCTGGTCCTTGGTCAGTTAGACCTTCTAATCACATCAGGCTCACCTGATGTCACCAGACGCAGCGTTACAGCCTCTTTTCCTCATGAGTGAGGAAAAGAGGCTGTAACGCTGCGTCCTGCATGAGGGATCTGGAAGCCAATGCGCTTATGAAGCGGTGACACGTGAATTCAAAGCTCGTCCACAAAACTAACTGCGATTTCGGATCGCAAAAATTTGCTAGTAAAATACGTTTAGTACGGTTGACGGTCGTCGAAGGAATGGTCTCCTTTGGAGATGCCTTGTTGCATGTAATCGCATCATCGTGTATTTTTTTGCGTTGCGAATTCGCATCGCATCGCATCCTAGTTTTGTTTACGAGCCCTAAATGCGATGCGATGTGACGCGGTAGCTATCCTGTAGTCCTACGTGCATGCGAATCGTTTCATTATAACCAAACAAAATAATGACAGCACCGCAGCCGCGGAGAACCTAACGGGTTACCGTGGCTCCGGCTCGAAGTGCAGGTAAGTAAGTAACGGAGTGGTTTTTAGTCAATAAGAGTCTGACACTATGGCGGGAGTAGTCATACGATGATTTTCCCCCCTTAAAAAAAACCGCATCCAAATATGACAGTTCGCGCGAAAATATCAAACCTACTGATCGCGTTCATATCGCGTTGGTCCGCACCGCATCCCACGGGCGTATTGTCACGTAGGACACTTGTCTTCAATACAGTTTGTTGTTTTGGCGCCGCACCGCATCGCATTCGCTTCTGGATCGCTTACGCAGGACGTAGCGTGAGTGTTCTCCTGTTCCACTTGACTAAAGTGGTATAATTTAACTATCAAACAAATAATAAAAAATTTAAAAGTTTCATGATGTGATCCTATCTTTATAAAATTATGTAAATCTGCAATCTGCGATGGTTTGTATGTAGATACAGCCGAATAGAGTATAACGTGAAATCTATATTATTATGTTAACAGTATAGTAACTAATGTTCTAGACCATTTTAAGTACATATAGTCTAAATAGAATTAGATTTGAATCGGTAGATCTTAGTGTTATTTTAGTTTTTCAACGTATAAAAAGTACCCTTACTAAATGTTGGACTTTTAGTACCTACTTTGAAGTATTTAGTTGTAGTAAAACATCAAATAATCGTTATACGTATTTGATAAAAGTACAGCGTAATTTTGTAAATAGTATACCTGTATTAGTAAATTTAGCTTGTTGCAATTATGCGCTTCGAATTAATGGCTGATTTCAGAGTCACGCTGATCAGCGTGATCAGCGTGCCTCATTTTAGTATTGTCCGTCGTGCAGCTGTAGCCAAATGCCATTTAGCCCTTGTCCACTTGTAGAGTAAAAAACCAAATTATATGGAATTGACGTTTATTTTGACTCTTGTCAGTGTCATCCATACGTTAAGGCTGGTTTCAGTGTCGCGCTGACTGCACGTTGACCGTTGGCGCTGATAACCGAGCCAGATGAACTTCTGGGAACCGTGCGCGCCGATACGCGTAATTCAACAACGCTACTTAGAAGTTCATATATTTCGGCTGTCAGCGCCGACGGTCAGCGTGCAGTCAGCCTGACTTTAAAACCAGCCTTATTTATAGTCTCTTAGTTAGATAACTAGATTTTACAAAAATAGAACCCTAGTTAGATTTATCAACTCAGCACTTACTATAATAGAAGTAATTCCTTCAGGAGAACCTAAAGAAGAAGTACGCGAAGTTGTGACTGATACTGAAACTGAACTAACCACTGAAAAGTCAGATGAAGAAGTACCGGTAGAAGTAGAAGTAGAGGAACCTCCACCTCCCGGACAGAATGATAAAGAGAGAGTCGCGCTGTTTTTAGCTGAAGTAATTTCATTGCTAACTTTACTGAGCTTCTACGTGTAGGAAGACGCTTTTTTCAGTATAGTACAGTGTAGACTGATGATCAGGATTCAAATTTACTATTCCCAAATACCTGATAGATTGGGTACCTATTATTATTCATAGTGCAAAGTTTCATAGGATCCATTGATAAATAGACTATTCGACACAAAGCAAGTATACTGGTCTTTTCTAAGCCATCTGGTGACGGTAGAGTAGAAAACATTTGTCCCCACCCCTACTCTTCCCACGGGTGTCGTATACCCAACTAAGGGATTACACAGTTAACAGAGACCAGGCAGCAGCGCTCTCTCATAAACCCGAATCTTTTAAACTATGTTCTCCAACCCTTCTGCCACGCGAGCGTTGATATATTGGCAAACCCTCTTATGTAGAGGAGGCACATTGTCCAGCAGTGAATGATCAGAGACTGATGATGAACCTTTCTAGCAAACGACTTTCCTTCCTTCCTTCCTAAAACCTTCTCCTCCCCATCCTAGATAGAACAAGTACGAGAGGAGCGTTTGAATGATATAACGACGACCTTCGAGGAACTGGCGGCGCTGGTGGATAGATTCAGAACTGCTAACTATGATCTGGGTTAGACTTCTTTTGTCATAGAGGATTTTGTTAGAAGTTTTTATGTAAGACAAGCTAAGTGAATTCATAACCACGGCTTATGCCCGAATATTAAAACGCTACTCAATTTAACTCGTCGAGTACCGGTTTTGTAGACACAATTATAGAACAATAGGTTGCGGTCACCGGTGACCGCTTGGTGTTTGACAGTTTAAGTCGCGCTTAAGTATAGTTCTGTCTCTACAAATTCTTGGTATAATGACAGAGACGGCACGATATTTAAGTACAATTTAGAATTGAGAAGCCTTTTGTTGTAGTAATTTGAAATTGGCGCGTTCTTTCTGAATAATGACAGATGATAGGTCGTTGATCTCATCTGCGCCATCACTGCTGTAATGTGCATTTGTTCATTCAATAAAACTAAGTAATTAATTATAAAATCGTTTAATTACAATACCTTTCAGTACTTAGGTGTTACTTACTTGAACTAGGTATTTGAGAAAAGCTAGCTAGCTAAAGCCGTGGTTTTTAAGTACATTTTGTTGTATATACTGTAGACTTTTTAATAAGAAAATTGTAGTACGATTCTCTATCTAGTCATCTAGTTTAACGTTGCATTTGGACCGATTAATTCGGTTTTTCATAGTATTAATTGTGGAAACACTATTGGTTTTTAGGTATATTGCCTGCGCACTATTATTGCACTATTTTGTAGAATTAAATGCATGTCTTCACTATATTATTAGTATGTAAAAATTTTCTCCATGTCCATAAAAATGTCATGTAATAGTGTCAAAATATCGAAAATTTAAATCAAATATGTCGTGGTGCCCAAAGGTTTATGACGCCCGCTTCTCATGCATGAGAGTGTGGGTCCGAAATCTACCAACGACAAGTACCAATGTGACTTTTTCCGAGTTACATGTACTTTCTACCTCTAATATTATTTAGACACCACTGACAGACGGTGAATGCAAACATCGTGAGGAAACCCTGGTTTATAATTTCTAAATATAAGTTTGAAATCGCCAACCCACATTGAGCAAGCGTGGTGACAAATTCTCAATCAAGAGTGGCCATTTATAGGCTATTGATGATGATGATGACAAAACCAGATATATAATGATGATAATCATATCATTCGTGTGATTCTGTATATCATATAGAACTATGTATTGTGAAGGCTTAGTAAAATGTTCACAGGCATGGTGGCTGGACGTCAGATGTCGACCACCAGTGGGGAGTTTATAGTCCAGCATATAGAGCAGGAAATAATGGCGTACATTGATGAGCAGATCGCCATACTACCAGACCCTGATTTGAAAAAGAAGAAGGTAGGACATACTAAACCGAGTTTTTTTGCATGTGATTTGTTCTTAATTGTCAATCAAGCTTCCTTGTGCTTGTGCGTACTGCTAAAGAGTGGAATCCTTTACCAGAGTCTGTATTTCCTGAAGGGTATAACCTGGGAGTCTTCAAGGCCCGAGTGAAAAGGTTGCTTATGGGACGACGTGCTCCATCGTAGACCACATCATTGCTTACCACCAGGCGAGATAGTGGTCAAACGTCGGCCCATCAAATATACAGAAAAGCCTTCTCTAAAAGTATTATTATGATAATGCCGCGTCCACACACTCGATGTTTGCCAAAAATACCAAACACAACAAACAAAGAAAACTGCTTCATTGGCCGAGTGGTCGCAAGTGCGACTGCTGGGCGAAGGGCCTCGGGTTCGATTCCCGTGTCAGGCAATGTACTACTGGATTTAAAAAAATCTCTCAGTCTACTACTGAGTCTGGAATAGTGCCCGGTATATGTCAATAGCCTCATCACTTATTACACGGGACTCATAACATAAGTGGTAAAAGTTCATCATATTTTTTTTATTTTAGCATGGTTCTAGTAGAAACTAACCATTAAAAGAACTTAACGAAGATGTTCTCCTTTAACAGGCTAAACCAGAAGAAGTGGCGATGGTCAGGGATATCTTAGAAACCTTCTTGGATGAGAACATGGACATTATAGTACCAGAAGTGGAAGAAGTTGAAGAGGAAGAGGTGCCTATACCCGATGTAAGTGATGTTCAAGTGTATAGCTGTATTTTACTCATCTTTTTTAAGCTTTTAATAGGATTGCTAGAGGTATTTGCTTCGGAGGTCGAGAGTTTTCAAATGAGAGTCATGCTTCGGCACCCATAGGACAGCTCGTCCGGAGTGATGCCACGGCCTCATAGGCAACAGGCGTGATACAACGCTTGTGCTGTTTGAGTGTGGATAACAGAGACCCAATCTTTACCCTTTAAGGTGAGCCCTCACCGGGAGCATTCGCGTGTAATATAACGATACAGATCTAAGCATTACATCAGTGAAGGAGGAGAACCGAGCATTACAATGCGCACCTTGCAATGATACAATGTGTAATATCTTGATACAACTTGTAACATCAGTGCGCTCCCCTCCCCCAGCCTCCCGCTCGCCCGTTTCGTCTGACATCTTGCTATCAAATGCTTAAAGTCGAATCTATACGTTACATTACACGCGAATGCTCGTTAGTCAGGGAGGTATGATTGTAATGTAATGCTCAAAGTCGAATCTATAATGTTACATTACATGAGCGATGAGCGTTTGGCAACTGTTTGATATCTGGTGTTACGAATGCCCGTGGGCGGTGCCAATTGCTTAACATGAGATGATCCATCTACTCTTTTGCTGACCTATTCTATATAAAATGTCATCCAGGTTTTGTTTTAATTATATCACTCCATTCCAGATAATTGTGGTGTATGCAGTCCCCGGTATCGGTCCTCCAGTGGATAGTGAGATCATGGCGGACTTTGAGGAGTACATCAGAGAGGTCACAAAGGTGCAAGCAAAGATGGTGATGCCTAGGAACATTAGGCACTTCCTCTGCCCACCGCTTGAGAAGTAAGATGCTTTGAAATACGTAACAATTTGCTTTAGAAATAATACAAGCTTTATCTACTTCGTTCAGTGTTTGGTGAGGGCAGTTTGAATATATTTGTCACGACCCCTCCTCATCCCGCGGCTGTCGTAAGAGCTGACTAATGTCTAAATACTCAAATGCCACTCGACGTTACAGATCTGAGCATTACATCAGTGAAGGAGGAGAACCGAGCATTACAATGTGCACCTTGTAATGTTATAATGTGTAATATCTTGATACAAATTGTAACATCAATGTCTGACATCTTGCTATGAAATGCTCAGTCGAATCAATATGTTACATTATGTCTGACATCTTGCTATGAAATGCTCAGTCGAATCAATATTGACATCATGCTATCAAATGCTTAAAGTCGAATCTATACGTTACATTACACGCAAATGCTCGTTAGTCAGGGAGGTATTATTGTAATGTAATGCTCAAAGTCGAATCTATAAGTTTATATTACACGTAAATGCTCCCGGTGAGGGAGCACCGTGACACCTTGACAGAAACGGCACGATATTTAAGTACTACTTAATATTGAGTGGCATTTCAGTAATATACCATAAGCTATTCCATGGGCGTAAGGGATTACACATTTAGCAGCGATGCTCTCTGATAAACCTGGATATTTTAGATTATGAGATTTTTATAAAAACTTTGTCTATTCATAGATTTTCTGACTTTATCATACTTTACCTGTTTCTTCGACGAATGACAGATACAGAACCTAATAATTCTAATTTGTTATTTCCTTTCATAAATTTCCGACCTTATTACATTGCAATAAAGATAAACTTCCTTTAAACTCTCCTTTCAGATACATCGAGACGGAATACGATACCAATGAAAAGGTACATTCATCAGACCAAGTTCCTGTTGGTGGTACTATCGCCGAATAATTTCAAACGTTAATATTATTAGAATATAGTCATTTTTTATTGCACGAAACCATATTATACCTATGTCCTCTAAGATCATTTAGGATAACTGTCGACGTTGCGTTATTTGACGTATGCATGCATCCTGTCGCGGAGAACCTAACGGGTAACCGGGGCTCCGACTCGACGTGCAGGAGTAGGAACGGGGTGGTTTTTAGTCAGTAAGAGTCTGACACACACTCCCTCCCGCCTCACCCAGGCGGGAGCAGCCATTCGATGATTTTCCACCCTTAAAAAAAAAAATGCATGCATCCTTCACACAACAATAGGCGGCCTAATAATGAGTAAAGCTTGCATCTTGCTTAGAAACAATGAACCACGAAGCCGTAACGTTAAGCCCGTTAACGTTTTTCGAGTGCATGAATTCAAGTATATTATAGGTTTTATACGGATCGGCAATGCACATGTAAGGGCTCGTACAAAAAACTGCGATGGGATGTGATGCGAATCCGCAACGCAAAAAAAATACAATTAAAAAAAAATTACGATGCAAATTGCTGCGATGTGATTTCGTGCGACAAGGCGTCTCCCAGGGTGACCATTCCTTCGACGACCGTCAACCGTACTAAACGTATTTTAAATTAAAAACTAGGTCGTGACATTGATCGTAAAAAGAAGTGTGCACTTTTGTTATTGCATAGGAGATACAGGAAAAAGAAACAAAGAAGATTTTGGGGAGATAAGATTTTGATGCTCAATGCGAATGAATTCGCACATTTTTGCGATGCGCATCGCAGTTTTGTGTAGGACCCCTAAAGCCAAGGATAGAACACTAGTAGACGAATGTTCAGCGACGTCGGGTGAAGTAGCGCGACGTTATCGGACTTTAGTCAACATATCTGGCAACATCAACGTCGCTGTTGACATAAGTTGTCGCCGTTGTTGTATATATCAAGCGAAATCGGCTTCGCTTGATATATCGACGATATGTCTTGGAACATTTGTCTCCTTGTGTATCCTTGGCTTAATGCCCCAAGTGTTGCAAGCGTACATAGGCTACGGTAACCACTTACCATCAGGTAAACCTTATACTGCTTTTGCTACGGTCGTGGTAAAAAAAATGGCGATATTTTTATACCTGTTTGGTTGACGTTTGACCGCCATCTCGCCTGGTTGTAAGCTATGTATTATCAAATCACGTAACGTGGACAGTAGACCTTAATCTTCACAATCTTCTTATATTTATATCCTAAGCTACTTGGAGTTGGCACAATTCTTCTTCCATTCTTCTCTATCAGACGTCATCGTATCACACTCCTTTCTCTTTCATATCATTCGTGACCATCTATCCATTTGTTTGTCGTCCTCTATTTCAAATATAACCCATGACAGTGCGTCTACGCTAGAAGGTAATCTGACAATGGATTTAACTAAGAATGTGTTACCTACTTCTTCAATCATTCTTCAGGTAATAGAGGTGATGACAGGGAATGAGTCCGCCAGTTAGATTATATATTTCATTTTTACCCTATCATCATTGTCATCATTCCTATAATACTGTAGAGTTCGAATTATAATATCAAAAATTGTTATATTATATAGATACTTACATTTTCCAACATCTTTCTCATTGACATCGAGTGCATGTTTTGATCTCTTTACTGTTCGTCTATTTTATTTTTCATGTTGTTGTTATGAAATAAATTATTAACTTATAAAAGAGTTTTCCTTTATTGTAATTTAGTCTATATAATATTGATTTAATTCATAGATTTTTGGAAAAAGGAGAAGGATTTTAGGAACTTCATCAAGGCCAGGTAATTTCAATGAAAAATTAACAACTTTACATTTGTTTTATTACATTATGGAATAATAAACCCCCCCATGTATATACCGACCTATCACCGAGTCACATTTTCTCCTGCCTACGGACTATCGCCGTCCTTTTCTAGCTGGGCGTTAGCGTATAGCTTTATCTCACTCTAACTATAGAAATAAAAGTCAAGTTTTGTTGTACTGACAAAATGCAAATTATAAAATGCTTGAGTGTAAATTAAATGCAGAACCAACTAAATGTATGTGTACTTGATTGGCTATGAAATTAGATTGTTATTTGAAAATTATCCTTGTGTAGTAGACTTCAGTGTCTATTATTCAAAGATTCCAATTATTCGGACGCTCTACCCAGCCAGTCAAGACGATGACTATCAACCATTGAGCATATATCCTATTCTTCACGATTTAATCTCCCCAATCATGGTTTTAATGAAATACCATTGCCATAAACGACTGACGTCTAAGCAAAACAATTTTTAAAGCATTATTATGCGGTTTTCGAACGCATCAGCCGCCATCTTGCATCAACTGTCAAAAATTGGCGCGATCGTATAAAATTTGAAACGTCATCGTCAATACGTATTTTTTTTCATCATCAATTTACATTTTTAATTAATTAATTATAAATAAAGAGACAACATTAATTTTATTCAACATGGTTCGTTATAATTTTTGTACTATTTGTTTAGTTCAAATTTTAAATTTAAATTTTGGTAGATTTAACTATCTACTCCGATAAAAAGTAGAAGAGGGATCATCTCCGAATAAATTTCTACTCATACTAGGTTCGTTTCCTACAAACCTTTATAATAAACGCTAATTAAAAATAAATTACGTTTAAAAATCAGCCAATACGGATCGCCATATTGAATTTTCGTTCGAAAACCGCCAACCTTACCATTCCAAAACATGTCTACGTTATGAGATATAGCGAAAAAATGAGAAAATAATCCCGCATGTATATATTTGGATTTAACTTTGGGTAAAATGAATTCTATATACACAAAAACCAGTTAGTACGGACAATTTGAGTGGAACAAACGCGAACAATATTTCCTTAAATATTAATTAAATACAAAAAATTATAGAACAGAAAGCTCATGAAAATAATAACAATATGACTGTAGTATTTTTCAAAATGTACATATAATATACTTACAGACAACAAACAAATTACTAGTACTAGTCGTTTTTTATCGAACCCACTGACCTAACGAGTGAACATTTAATTATTATTACACGTCAATGAATTCGATAAATAAACTAGTTTCGCCCATTCTCGAATTCACGATCCCTTATAAGGAATTCTACAAGTTTATTTTTTCATTAATTTACACTAAGAAAACTTAAATTAATTCGACACTGGAAGAAAATTGGCGCCACTGACGAAATTGGAGTCGACTTTTTTTATTTTTTTTCGTAATTAGAAATTTTCGCAAACCTAATTGCAGTTACATTGATGGATTTTGACTTCTATTTAGTTAGATATAAGTGTCATATTAGCTGCACAAACGATTGGGTTTGCAAATACATGAAACAGCCTTTAACGTTATTCTTATACAGACGAAATAGAATTCAAAATTGCGCGTCTAATCTGCAAACGAGGTTTGCAAAAATTTCTAAAATAGTATTAAATGCACGTTGACTTAAAAAAAAAACAATTATGAAATTGATTGAATTGAAAAAAAAATAGGGCAATAGATAATTGAATTCCAGCTAGAAAGATACACTAATTTGAATTCTAACATGATGTTTAATACAGTTTAAATTACATTACAATCAATCGACACCAATTTCGCGCAGAGAAACCATCTTTTACTTACAATTGTTATGAAAAAAATTTGAATGAGAGCCAAAGTGTTCTGCGTTAGACTTATATAATAAGAAGATGCTAACACTTAAATAACATGTCGTAAAAACTTAGGCATTACTTATGAATACAGCTTATACCAAATATTGTTGAAATACAATAACTTGCGTCTGAAACAACCAAGTTATAAATACCCAAGGGGAAAAAAACATCAGGCCTGTTTATGGTCACTAGCATAGATAAAAAACAGAAAATTTTTATTATCATTAACATTATTATTTTTTTATATAAAAAAACCAATAAATACCTACATTAATTATCACTAAGGAAGCGTCATTTTGGAACGAATTTTATTTTTTTAATTAATATATTTTTTAAAGGTTTTTTTTATTGCTTGCTCCGTCTAAGCGTACCGAAGGACCCATGTCATGATTTTTTAATCTATTTTTTAATTAAAAATCTAGCTGACTGCGCTATATCTAGTCGTGAAAATGTTCCATAATAGTAATGGAAGTATCTAAGCACATCCGTCGTTACTGAGGTATGTTTTAATATTATATTTACTAGAAAACATTATTTATAACAATGGTAACCCCCACATATAGGTTTTATTTAAATTATTGCTGTCAATTAGGTATTTTGGAACAACTGAGTGACAATAAGCTTCTATTTAATAACTTTAAATAAATAATAATTATAAATTTTAATGCTGGAAGTTTTGTATTTTGGCAAAAATAATACTTCCGCAGTCACGTTATAGACCACGAATGGAAAATTTGCCTAGCATGTCACATTTCTATTAGTTGCGACTCACAGTTGCAACTATCTATTAGAAATATCATCACAAGTGCCCAAAAACAACGTCGTTTTGTGTTTTGGTCACATTCTTGTCCATTTCCTATAAATTGATTGCAGTGATCTACTGTCTTTATTATGACATCTTTAACTAACTAAAGAACTTTCATAAATTTGGAAATTGCCGCCGAGGGCAAAACTTTTTTGACGTGGAGCCACCACGTCAAATAAGTTTTAAAATCCAAATGAAATTAAGGCAAAACCTAGTCACTCATTGTTTAAAAATCCCAGATCACAAATGACTAAGAAAACACAAAAAATTCTGTAAAAACTACGGAATATTGCAATATAACCTAACCTTCAACCGTCTTTTTTAACTGTATAGGCCACGGGCATCATTCCTTTTATAATGACAAAAATTACTTCAATATCTCACGTTTCATCCATTTACCTAATATATCAAAAATTGTATGACATGGGAACTTCTATATTTTCAAAAAATTGTTACGTATAAATAGTCATGGTCTGTTTACACACAACTTTACGGTAGAAGCCATTCAAAATAGCATGCGAATTAGGAAGATTACGAAATTGAGCTTTATTACAGCCGAAATAAGGAATAGCGGGAGCCGGTACATCGATTTAGGAACCCGTATGATCCCAGACAATAGGCTCCCGAGGAAGGATCGAAAAAATTACGAAAAAATTGGAAAAATTACAAGACATAAACACATTCCAACAAGATTTTTTACTAAACCTTCGTTGAATATTAGCTTTTGCGGTAAATCATTTTGATAATAACGAGAGAGTAAAAATTCCGCATTAATTCATCGCATTCCTACATTTCATATTATAAATACAAACCACTACACCGCTCCTAGCCGCTATCAAATCGCACAATCCATCTCAACATTGATTCCTTACATCTTCTAATCGACTACCACTTCTAGCAACACATCTTTGTCAGTAAAAATGCTAAAGAAATCTGTAGCAAAATTCATTAAACATTCTGAAACTTTTCTCATATTGACCACTCCATCTATATCAGAGTTGAATATAATATCATGATCAAAGAAGAGTCCAAAAAAGTTAAACTTCGACAAATTTCTGACAGCAGACAAGAATTTTGCCAATGCTTCTACTCATGCCACAAGTGCAATTATGAGCCAACTAAGGGTCTACGCATTTGATAGAGATCGAGCAGCAGCGCTCTCTGATACACCTGAACCTTTTCAAGCTATGATCTCCAAACCGCATGCCGAGCGTGGAAATTATGACAAACACTCTGATGTAGAGGAAGCCCATTGTTCAGTAATACACTGCCATGATAATGATCATGATGAAGCCACAAAACATGAAGGAGAAGCAGACGATCGATTAGAAGATACAACAAATCACACTCATCATAAATATTCGCTAACTCGTTTCGTTTAACAATAAAACTTTTGGAATCTTTATTTAACATGGGTGCCTATTAAATACAATATATATTTATACGTTCAAGAACAACTCCATACATTTAGCTAATGTTCAAATTATTACTTAAAAACGAACAATCAGGATTTTCGCGCCAATAGCGGTGCTAGTGCAGCTTTATGTCTATCGACCGAGGGAGTATATGCTAGTGTCGATTCATCTAAACTCTGTCTTTAGCCAAAAACCACTTTAGCGCTTGTCTACAGAGAGAGAAGAGAAAACTAAATGTATGGGGATGACACTGACAAGTGTCAAAATTTACGTCAATTCCATATAATTTGGTTTTCTATTCTACTCGTAGACAAGCGCTAAATGGCATTTGGCTACAGCTGCTCATTAGACAAGACTTTACAGCACACTAGCGCCATCTACGGATCGCAAAATCGAAAACCCTCAATGCGTCAGAATCACTCAACTACATATATAATGCAAGACTAAAGCAAGAGTTGTTCTTAACGAATGCATTTGACTAGTTCGACAAACCATCTATTATATTGAGCCGTCAAAAAATCCTAATTGCAATCTTGGAAAAATATACAAGAGACCGCTAAACGAAATGTTTCTGTTACAAAATGCTAACTTCAATCAATGTTTTACTTAAGCCTATACCGACTAGGCAACATTTGAAGCCCAACATGTTGTACAACATGTTACTCAACATTTTAGTTAGAAACGTTGTCTGTCTACACATGATTTTGCTCGCAACATTGTCGACAGAGGAACAAAGTTGCGCGTCACGTTTCTACTCGACAACACTTGAATCTTTACTGCATTGTTGCATCGAAGCAAACAACATGTCGTGCGTCAAATGTTGCCCAGTCGATACGAGGCTTTATAACGAAAAAAACAGTTTCACTCAAAAACAATGTACATAGCTTTGGCTTTTAGGCGTCAACAGCCTCAGAATTTACAAACGCCGCCTGTCCGTCAGTTACGTGCGATACGAATCCTTTATCTTCAATCCTCATAATGTTGCCCACTTTATTTGATTCATCGAATATTATAGTTTCAGTGTTTCAACAGTTACATAGAATCAACGTTAGAACACGACCCAAAAATCTACAAGCCGATCAATGGGCCCAATGATATTTTCATGGAAGCATAAATCCAACCGAAAGACAAATTATTATTGGCACAATAACTGACTTTAAAAATATAACCTCACCAACAACATGAGTACAATTCGCTATTGTTATTAAAACTAGGCAATAACAGATTTGAATCGTTTGAATATTGAGCTGTTGAAGTACAAAATTATTGGAATCACTATTACTTATCCGATCGGTAACTAGTAGCCTAGCGCTTGGGAAGTATTTAGATATACACTGTGCCTTGGAAAGCATCGGTTACCAGCCAATGTGCCTTTAGGAACAGATTTCAACAAGATTTTACATAGAAGACAGGTTGACTATTTTTACAACATTAGACCTATTTAATCTTAACTTTTGTACATGAAACAACGTGGAAGAAGTAGAAGTCTCAGTACCCAGCTATGTTCAATGTAACACCACAACACAGTGTAGATCCCGAAGCAAATATAACAGCCCCGTAGAAGCTTACTTTTAAAGAGAAAAATATATTATCTAAATCATTTGCCTGTGTACTTAACAATTCTATTGGTGTCAATGTTGAATTGGCGAGAATTGCCATCTTGTAACAAATGTCGAATGTCATAATTTCTTTTTATTTTATCGTGGCGTGATTGGAAGCTTGAAACGAAGGGGCGTTAACGAGTGGAACTTCGTTCGTTATCATCAAGCTATAGCTAAGAGTCGAGCTGCCCTCGTTAACAGTTCTAGGACGCGCCGCCAGATGGAGCGGAGCGCGTTCGAGCGTGAAAACAGGAATCTCCATAGGAAGAACACGGTCGCCACTTGGGTTAGGATGTGGACTATATGTAATCTGGAAACAAGAAATATTTATTAGAAACACATTTCGATATTTACAACAATCAATGAATGAATGCAAGCAAACCATCTGAATTTGATTCGTTAACGCAAGCAGTGATTAGATATCTCTCAACACGGTGGCTGATGTCGTCGACATATCTAATTGTACACTGAGCGAGTTCACAAGGACCACACTTACTCTATAGTGTGTAAGGAAATATAGTTTGCAGTTAAAATTTTAATAAGTTTATATTAAATATAGTTAATAGTTTAGGAAACATATTTTAAGTTACTATCGTCGAATTGGGTTAAGTTATCTATAATGGCAAAGTAATAATTAAATAAATAAATAATTAGCTGAGTTATCTGGGCTTGAAATGCACTCATGACGGTAGAACTTCCACAATAAAAACAAATTAACTAAAGGCACCATACTCGACAGAACATCACGCTTTTTAATAGATAGATGGGTCAAAAGAGAAGACAGGTCACCACCAGTAACATCATTGAAGTTATAAAGTGCGTTGCCACTTTCAGGCTATGATGACATAGCAAATGATAAAATGCATATAACTTAGGAAGACGTACCTTCGCAACACGGCTCTGGACTTGGGCAGCGTGTCGGGGCTCTCTTTGAAGAGGAACCTCCGGATGCCGAGCACGTACGACTCGATGTACGCGTCCCAGTCGATGTTGCGCACGTTGAAATCAAAGGTCCTGGAAATCATGGAAAGAGTTGGTATAAAAAAATTATATAAAATGACTGCACAGTTGGTGCGGTGGCTGGGCAACCGGCTGCCGTGCAACGTGTCGCGGGTTCGATTCCCGCACGAAACAACACTTTGTGTGATCCACAAATTGTTGTTTCGGGTCTGGGTGTCATGTGTATGTGAACTTGTATGTTTGTTAACGCACCCACGACACAGGAGAAAATCCTAGTGTGGGGTAACGTTTAAAAAAAAAAGCAGACTACGAGTTAGGATATTAGGCAGATTTGAAAAAGTTTCTTTCAAATTTATATTATTTCGCCCGAAATCGTTAAGATTCATAAACTACTTTATACTAACATCACATCTTTTATATATTAAAACTTTTCGTTTACCTAACCGACTGAAAGATGGCAAACTGATAAAGGCTATTAAACTTTTAATATAATATTATTTTAAAAAAAATTTCGTTATTGGAATGTAATCGCGTACAAAATTTTTTAAATAGGTGGCGCCACTATAGCTTTTGGTTTACTAAAGCACCAAAAATGAAGTATTAATTACCTGCGGTCGTCAGGCGAGAGTGACGCGCAGAGTGCTTGCACGTTGTCGTCTGCGAATGCCCACTGACGCGTGGTGAAGTACTCGAGGCACGCCGCCGCCTTCTCCAACTTGTTCTGAACACGGACCATCCTGGAAATAAAACAGTTGATCAAGAAATTATCAATAACTGTAGCAATGAAGATGAGAATGTTAGGAAAACTTGTGTTGATACAGCTGCAAAACATACAAACCTGCTATCAAATACAGAGTACCATTTCAAACTCTCAAACTCAAACTCAAACTCAAAAGCATTTATTTCAATTAAACCATAATTTGGTACTTTTGAAACGTCAACAAATATGAAATATATAATAGTCTGTCAGTCTGTCCGTCAGTGAAGCTAGGCGCTCGTTCCAAAATGTCGATTCGAGTGGAGAAGAACGAGCACGAAACTCCATTCGTTACTCTTTTAAAAAAAGTCTGTTTTACATTGCTCTGGTACATATTCCAATATTGTACACACATGTGAGAATAATGTAAAGACATACCTGACGCAACATACAAATAACAGAACATACTAAAATAGAAAAAAAAAAACAAAACCTCTCTGTGCTATTACTGATAGCAGTTTTCAATAACTTAAGCCTGATTACTCGGTAGTCAATTAACAAAGTTGTACGGGTTTAGTTTGCCCGTATACTACCGTTAGTTGAGGTGATTGTTGAGTGTGCCGAGTGTGGTGATGAATGAATACTCTTCATATAGTTATGGAAGGTTTATAATCCGTCAGTTACAGTTAAGTAAAAGTTTTAATGATTCTCACAGATACGCTTGTGTTACGTTGGCTATTGTACACACACTGAAGTCAGTTTTAATAATTATTACGAACTAAGTGAATCGACCGATATGCTTACTTAGCTTGATCTCGCGACACGAACCGTACAAAGTAAAAAGTAATATAAAAACGTAACGTACATTATTTTGTTTTGGTAAACTCTAGAATCAACTCGAGACTTCAATCAGGCCAAACTAATTGATGTTGTTTTTAATCTTTTGGTTTGAATTATAAACTTTCATCAATTGACAATAAGAGAAAAATCACAATAGCATTGATGGTAATCTCTTCTTCTCTTCTCTTTCTCCCTTGAAGACTATTTAAATCAATACTTACATAGGTTTCTTGCCGGTGGCTGTGGATACGAGGTCCATGATGGCGGCGGGCGCGCGATGCTGCAGCAGCGACAACGTGCCGTGCTTCAGCCTGTTACTGGTGATGTCACCTCCGGGGTACCATAGCACCTCATCTGGAAAATAGAAGGATAGAATAGTAATTTATTTATTTTTCCAACATATAACAGATACAGAATTAGGTCTTATAATAGGCTTATATTAGAATTATCCTTACTAATATTATAAATCGGAAATTGAGTTTGTTTGTTCCGCTTTCACGCCGTAACTACTAAACCGATTGCTTTGAATTTTTGCAGACGTAAAGTTAGAAGCCCGGATTAAATAATAGGGTACTTTTTATCCCGAAAAAATTGATATTCCCGAGGGAAACAAAAGTATTGTTATAGATGGCGCTGTGTGTATCAGTATATGTCACATAGGCTACTTTTTATCCTTTTGTGATGCGAGCGAAGCCGCGGGTAAAAGCTAGTACAATATAAACATGCAATTGTACACGTGGGGGATATTAGACCCCAACAGGATTGAATTAATTTAAATTATATTACGATAGCTATATGTGTACCAGGCACGTACTAGAAAAACCTGTGCTATGGGCTCCTGGCCCTTTCTCCTAGATATGGACTCTGATCATATGGATCTCTAAAAAGTGTAACAACAAATAAAAATTATAGAGTTACGATTACAAAGAGATTTTTTAGTAGGACTCCGATAATCTCACTGACATAGCTACATAATTCGCAGTCAATAATAACATGGAATTATTTTAACCCGGCTAGCCTCACAGAAGGCTATTCCGTGTCGAAGCATGACATTAAAAATGATTCCACGACTCCCATCCCATCCTTCTTTAGTTTCCATCAAATTCAACATCACCATTATCAGCTAAAAGACATCCACTGCTAGAAAAGGTCTCCAACTCACATTCACTGATCATCAATTACCCTATGTACTACAAAAATTGTCGCGGAGAACCTAACGGGTAACCAGGGCTCCGGCTCGACGTGCAGGAGAAGGAACGGGGTGGTTTTTAGTCAGTAAGAGTCTGACACTCCCTCCCGCCTCACCCAGGCGGGAGTAGTCATTCGATGATCTTCCCCCCTTAAAAAAAAATACTACAAAAATCATATAAAACTCACTAAACGGATGTTTCCGCATGTATTTGAAGCTGGTTTTGACAAACCGCTGCCACGTGATGGGGTTCTGCTGGCCAGTGCAACAATTGTACACCACTACTCCCTCACCTCTGGAAAAATTTAACAGTTAAACAATCAAACATCAGAATTTGTATTCTCTGATGATGGAACACCAGTTTTCTGCCATTCAGTTTGGAGTCACAAAGGGCCATGTTGTCAACCACCAAATATACTTTTAGCCACCGTAAGTGACACTTATGATAGTAAAAGTCTTTCCCAACTTGAGAATAGCGCCCAAAATCTTATGTATGGCAGTTACATTCAAGAAAGCCAACTGTAATAACGCATTTGTTAAAGTTAACCCAATGAAAATTAAACTTATTGATCATAAACAATGATTAAATGAAAAGCACCTAAATATACATTGACGCAATCTAGGGAGCCAAACAATGACAGCTCCCACAAAACTTCCAAGCAAAATCAAATCATGTACCAATGACTTACCGTCTCAAATGCGTCCTCCACGCGCAAACAATCATTAGGTTGATGACGGTGTCGACAGGCACCAGGTCCGCGACCTTCGTGCCTGTCCCAAGCATCGTACGGAATATCCCCTTGCCCACAGCCGCTATGATACCGTTGGGACCGTTCCAATTGTCAACCCAACCTTTTACCGGCTCTCGGAGCGATGAGAGCACTGCAAAGAGAACAATTGGATTAGACATAAGGAAGTATGAAAGAAGAATAAAGAAAATGTATTCATTTGCTGCATGATATAGGCGGAGATACAAAGCAATTTATCTAATAATTATTTTTGTGTCCCCAAAAACGAAAGTGGTGCCACTCTTTCGTTTAGATTTTCTTAGTCTTCGAAGGATTTGGTATGAGTACCATAGAAGAGTAATAAAATGAGTCATGTCTCAAAAATTCCATTTTAACCAAGCTTTTAATTTATATCTTTGAGCTACAGCAGTAGCAGCTATATACATCATCATCATCATCCGACTACTGCCAGCTATACAGCAGATATTGTCACTCCACCTAGCTGGAGGGCACCCTACACTACGATTGCCCAAACGTCTACCCCAACGGTAATCGGTTCTTCGACAACGTGACCGTCCCATTGCCACTTCAGCTTGCTAATCCTTTTAGGGCCAATTTTTCAATCATCAGTTAATGCTTAACTATAGAATAAAATTTATATTTAACAGTTTTTAATATAGAAGAATACGGTAGTTGTCAGTAGTCAGTAGTCAAATTCAATACTTTTTTGAAATGTCAAAAACGATACTTTTCTATGAATTTTATATTGGATCGCAACTCATAAGACGTCATCATCTTTCTGCGTCAAACAGCATACGTTTATTTCCTTAAAATTAGCGAGAAAAAATCCAAAAGTAGGTAAATTGTCAAATCAATGGATGAGAGTATGATTATTTTTTAATTATTTATTGCATTGAAAATACAGTCGAATTGAGAACCCGGGGCCTTTATTTTTTGAAGTCGGTTGAAAAGTTGAAACAATTTATTAAACCTAGGAAACTAGCCGATTGTCAAATGTTCCAAGTTATTCTTCAGTTAAAATTTATCTGGCGTTGGAAAAATCGGCCTTTAGCGTATCGTTTACTAACACATGGGATTTTGAATTAATTAGCAAAAATCTAGATTATACAAGCAAAATGGCAGACACCTCAGTCATATCAAGACACATAATTACATAAAGTAACCTAAATCGCGACAAATATTTACACTCACACCTCTTCGATCCATCATAGATAAGCAGATCGTATCAACATTTGCAGATTGATAATAATTATAACATACTTTTTTAATTCACTTTTTAAGTATCTGATAAAAAAAAATGTGTCGGTGCAGGCTTAAGTTAAGCATTCTTAAACTTGGTTTTCCCCTTAAAAATTATTTAGGCGTGTCAAAAAGAGTTTTTCTGACGTAACCCTGTACGTTGTAACCAAGAATTGTTTTGTGAACCTTATTGAAAAAGGGTAACACGTGGAGATTCTCGCTCGTTCTTCTCCATAGGAATCTATATTTTGGACCGAGCAAATAACTTCATTAGAGGACTGACTGACAGACTGACTGATTTTTCAACAATTAATTACACCTGCGACAGGTTTCATATCAGCCGATTATCCAGCCTCCTAAGATGGTTGTCGAGGCTGTTAGGAATTAACCCATTGACCGATACGACTATCGGTTCAATGATAGCCGAATCCACATTCCACATGTCGACAACCTCGCCAGTCAAATCAAGATATTTTTTTGTTTATCTTTTTCAGCTTTCACGAGGTTGTCATCGTGGGGTATGATGACACCGATTAACACCGTGAGGCGCACTTGTCGGTCAACTATATCATCCATTATATCAGGTTTATTGGCTACAATTCCTGTCAGCTAATGATAGACCGGTCCCATTACAATGTGATATGGTCATTTTCCAGAACTGGGTCGGGCACATACTTGTAGTACGGTACCTTAGACTCAACAAGTCGATAGTTCAATGCAAGTTGCTGATGGATAATCTTGGCTACTTGATTGCGCCTATGCAAATATTCACTATTAGACAAACGACCACAACCAGAAATGTCTAATGGATTCACCAGGACTGACATGTCCGACATATGTCAACCGTCCCATCCTTAATAATATATTTCCGGTAGTTATTCGTAATGATAACTTCGTCTATAATTGCACAGGCAAATCCTTCAGTTTCTCCAAAGAGATTAGGTGCTGAATCGTAGCCAAGATACAGACACCAGAACATCTACACTGGGTCTATGAAGGGCCCGGAAAAAGCGTCCGTAGAGCTCCTTGCTATACCATACCACCTTGCGATAATTTATTATTATTATTACAAATGATAACAAATACCCGACTTGTCTGTAGATTACAATAAAATGGATTTTTTATCACACGTGAGTCAAAAATCACGTGCTAAACAGATAAGAGACGTTTCAACGAAATACACACGCCAAGCTAGCATAAGTTAAGACTCTGGTTCAGGCCATGGTGCGGAGTGAGGGGGACTGGGATGCCGTCCTCTCCTTCTGCGAAACAGACATACTAGCCAAGGAGGAGAAGGGGCGCGTGAGGAGGTTCCTCACGCTCCAGCCGGCTCAAAGAGCAGGAGTACGAACAGGGTGGTTTTTAGTCAGTAAGAGTCTGATACTCCATCTTGCCTAACGAAAAGCGGGAGAAGCTATCGAATGATGTCCCCCTCAAAAAAAGCATAAGTTACGTGCAAAAATCTGTTTTCTTCAGTCAGATTGAAAATAACAGTGACAGAATAGGATAGATTTGTGGGTAAATCAAATATTATGGTTTTTAACAGAACAATAATTGCCTGTATCTTCCAAATTACAATCTACAAACCACCTACCAAAAGTGAAGTTTGTGGCAAACCCTCTTATCTGATTGTCACAGGCTATTGACAACTACTATCTAGTAGGATAAAGGCTAACTAGTCTTCTTCCTTTCTCCAACTGAAGACGTAAGAATCCAGGTCCTTAATGAATCCAATTTTACTAAAAATGACAAAAGACCAAAGTCCAAAACTTAATCAGTTAAACAACTTAAGCTAATGTTTGCGTAAAACAAAACATTATCGATTCTTCGCAAAGTAATTAATTTAGCGATAACTTTAAACAGTGTGATTCAAATTTATATAAAAATAAGATTACCGTATCACACAAGTTTATTGATAAACGACAAATTATTATATGACCCAATTTATGAAAGAAATTATCATGCACAGTTTCAATTTTAAATAGGTAATTGCTACGTTGATATTGCTAAGTCCAAAATACCGAAGTACGTGTGTCGCTTGGACAGTCAACCTCGCTACATCCTTGTTGACTGGACATCTACACTACATGAGCTGCTGTTTACATGTGAACATTATCTCATGACGATACCTAAGTACGTGTGTCGCCTGGACAGTCAACCTCGCTACATCCTTGTTGACTGGAGTGATGAAAGAAGATGTATAATGGTCTCACCGATAGAAGGTCGTACGATGGATACTGGCAGGTTCCCACTTTCCTTTATAAGCATGTCCTCTGCTAAAGCCTTTGTAAATGTGTATGTGTTAGGCCGGTCACCTGGAATAGGAAGGAGAAAATATGGGTTAAAAATAATATTCTACAGATATAGTAAGATGTCATGTAGTGATTTACAAACTAAAAATATTCGAAGACCTAGTAGTTACCATTCTAGAAAGCATTGTTCTATCAATTGTAAATAATATTCTGTCTCAATTGGCAGGAACTAACATCTAAGGTACAGGCTCGGCCTAGTTTAGATGTTAGTATTCATAAACATTGTGTCAAATATTTTTGTTACAATAAACAGTTTTTATTTATTTACTATCAGTGATGGCAGAGTGAAACACGTCTATCAAAACTCCTGCTCTTCCCGCGGGTGTCGGTCGTAAGAACTGACTAAGAGGATATACATTTGACAAGATCGCACATCAGCACTGTCCGATAAACCTGAATCTTTTATACGATGATCTCCAATTAGTCTGCCAAATGTTTAGGTTATGATAAACCCTCTTATGTAGAAGGAGCTCAAAGTCTAGCAGTGGATTATTCCGAGCTGCTGAAACCTTTTTACAACTAAGGAGGCTTTAACAAGCTTTGTCAGCGCATTAGTATGGCCATCGATCATAGAGGCGGTGACGCGTGGGACGTGGGTATAAAAAAACACAGCCGCGCGAGCGCCGCGCTTCTTCATCCACAAACTCGGTTCACCAACGCCACAGCTTTCGGGCATTTCTTTTTTGTCGGCCGCCGCCTTGGTCTTGGTCGGTCTTGATTGTAATTTGTGGAATAAACCTTATTATTGTGCACTATTCTGTTTTACTGAAAATAACCAGTCAGAGCTACGACAAGAGCCTAGGTCGCCACTTGTATTAGTGTGCTACCCGTGATCCTGACAGTATCGTTGGTCCACCTAGGATCTGACAACTTACTCACCGACTAAATCCGGTGTGATTCTATCGACGAGGTCGTCAGGCAGGGTCTGTACCAACGTGACCACGTGCTCGGGGTGCGCAGGCGGCGCGTACACCGTCTCCTCCACTCGCTCGCGTTCACAATTGCAGTATGCCGTCGATACGTGGACTAGTGCCTGGAAAATATAAATTGGAAAATATAAGTGTGGGAGAGCCATGCTTCGGCACGAATGGGCCGGCTCGACCAGAGTGGTACCACGGCCTCACAGAAAACCGACGTGAATCAACGCTTGCGTTGTGTTTCGTCGTGTGAGTGAGGTTACCGTAGGCCCAATTACTTTCCCCTTCCCCAATCTCCCCAATCCCTGAATCCCCAACGATCCTCAAACTCCTAATCCCCAAAAAGCCGGTGACGCACTTGTAACGCCTCTGGTGTTCCAGGTGTCCATGGGCGACGCCGATAGCTTACCATCAGGTGATCCGTCTGCTCGTTTACCGGCTTATGCCATAAAAAAAATAGCACAAACCATTAATTCATCTATTGACTATTGCTATATGAGTACACAATAGAAAATATTTAAGAAAGAAGAGCACGCAAGGAGATGTTAATGATTATAGAGGAGGCAAATGAGGTCTATATGAATGAATGAATTGTGAAATTTTTTTGACCGTCTCTGCCTATCCCATGAGACAGGAGTTACATAGATTAATTATCAACTTACAACTTGTTCATATTTAATAACAAATTTTGTTCATAAAAAAGTAGTCTCTAATTATCGGAGATACGGACTATAATGGAGTGAATGCGAAGACACCGGTGTCCATTCAGGGATGGTACAAGATGATGATGTAGTCGCAAATAAACACCAAGCATTCATCATAATACGGTAGTTGATAGGTAGTCAATTTCAATACTTTTTATTGAAATGACAAAAACGATACTTTTCTATGAATTTTGTATTGGACCGCAACTTATGACGTTATCATATTTCTGCGTCGAATAGCATACTTATTTCCTTAAAATTAGCGAGAAAAAATCCAAAAGTAGATAAATTGTCAAATCAATGGATGATAGTATGATTATTTTTTAATTATTTATTGCATTGAAAAGTTGAAACAATTTATTTTAAACCTAGGAAACTAGCCAATTACAGTATAAATAATTTTAAAATCGACAAAAATAGTTGTTTGTAGAGAGGCTAAACTATTTTTATTTTAAATACCTAATTACCCCCCTGTAAGTACAATAACTCTCATATCATGCCATTAAGCATGCATATTTCGACTGAAATCGATATCGATTTCTTTTCGCTGATTCTTATCGCTGAAATCAATCTTAATACCTTAAACATAGATTACATTTCACGATGACATGGCATAGACTGTAAAACTGCGTCTACTGACGTTGTAAGTATAAATTTTGGTGTAGCTAATGACTCACATATTATGGTTTTTCCTAATAATCACAAATGCCTATTGCCTACTAAATTATGCCTGTTATTTAGTTATCAATAGCTGAAAGACGTCCACTGCAGGACAAAGGCCTCCACTTTTGTCCTACACGTCGAACGACAACTCGTCACTTGCAACCACTGGTTCTCCGCAACACTGGCGATGTTGTCGGTCTACCTAGCGGGAGGCCTGCCCACGCTTCGTCTTCCGGTTCGTGATCTCCATTCAAGGACTTTCCTGGCTTCCTGCCCCATCTGCTGTCAGTCCGTCGAGAGACGTAGCCTGCCCATTGCCACTTCAGTCTGCAGATTTTGCGAGCTATGTCGGTAACTCTAGTTCTTTGGCGAATTTCCTTATTTCGGATTTAGAAACTAGCACATATCATAATCTAGAACATTCAGTTTCAATAAACAGAGTGCCAAGCACGAATAAGTATCGCATTCGTAACGTAATAGTATCGAACGCGATATTTTTTTAAGGGGGGAAAATCATCGAATGACTGCTCCCGCCTGGGTGAGGCGGAAGGGAGTGTCAAACTCTTACTGACTAAAAACCACCCCGTTCCTTCTCCTGCACGTCGAGCCGGCGCCCCGGTTACCCGTTAGGTTCTCCGCGACTCCGAATATCGAACGCGATATCTTATTCTCGTTACTCTGCACAACTTGGTTCCCGCTAGTCCTATCCATCATCATAGTACAAGACAATCGCAGAAGCGCCTTCGCTTCATGGGGGATATCCTACCGCACGGAACAACTCTTTGTGTGATCCACAGATTGTTGTTTCGGGTCTGGGTGTCATGTGTATGTGAACTTGTATGTTTGTAAACGCACCCACGACACAGGAGAAAATCCTAGTGTCGGGCAACGTTTAAAACAAAAAATAATAAGTCGTGCTTACGTAGATATAGTTCTGTCCCTACAAATTCTTTCTAAAATGACAGAGACAGCACGATATTTAAGTACTACTTAATATTGAGTAAGCCTTTCAGTATTCGAGCCCATGTTAGATACCCACATTGGTGGGTGACCTGTTAAACACCCATCAAAAAATAAGCTACTCACCTCAAGGTTAAGCATGCGATGACAAAGCTGGACCAGCTGTTGTGTGCCCAACATGTTGATGGTGACAGACAGTTTGAGTTTCTCGTCGAACTTCACAGTCGCAGCCGAGTGGAACACCACTGATATCTGATGAAAGATACATTGAACATTTAAATACTAGATAATTAAACTATGGTAAAATAGGTGATGAGGTTAAATTGTAATTCATATCTAACGTGTATAATAGCTGTGTAATTTGAAAAATGAAATGAAATCGTTTTGAGTAGAGGGAGCCACTAGCTTTTGGGTCACTTACGGCCGAAATGAATAAACTCTAAATCGCTTTAAGCCTCTGACAGCAACTTCATACACCTAATGTCAATAATCAAAATATTTGGGAATGAGAACGATAAATAAATTTTGGCTTTTTGGGTCTAATTTTTTGAGGGAGGAAATCATCCAATGTTTCTCTCGCTCGGGTGAGGCTAGAGGGAGTGTCAGACTCTTACTGACTAAAAACCAACCCGTTCCTACTCCTGCACTTCGAGCCAGAGCTCCGGCAACCCGATAAACCCTCCGCGGCGCCGTATCGGCATCAGCCCTATTGGGGCCCATCTATGGTGGTCTGAAGGCTAAAGTGGAGAATATGGCAAACCTTTCTTATGTAGAGGAGATTCGTAAACCACCAGTGGATTGTCCCTGGCTGTTGATGTTAAAGACTTGCCATGTGAGTAAATTCCTTAACTCTTTGAGTACCGTCATTATAGACACAATTAAAGAACCGGTCACCGGTGACCTCGCGGTGTTTGACAGTTTAAATACATTTTTCGTTCCTTTTATTATTCTGTCAGCATTGTAAGCGCATATCAAGTGCATAATAGTTCATTTTCATCTGCGTATGTCTCATTAGCACTTAATTGGCCACAGGTCGTGGGTGCCTCCACAAATAGAATCAACTCCTGTGTGGGAATCGAACCCGTGACTCTGCGTAGGAGTCGCCCAACTGGTGTGTCAGACAAATATGTCACTTAACACCCGTAACACCAGAGCAGTTATAATTACGTGGCCAGTCTTTTAGTAATTTTCAATAAACTTTTAAAAATACCTACTTTTCATAATAACTATCGTGACACATAATAAATTAACTAAAGTCGCGGGTTACTGCTCATGAGGAAGAACCTCTCTGTGGTTTGAAACTAGTTAGATCAGTTTTGGAAGTCGGTTAATATATTAAAACCTGCTACTATGTGTAATTAACAATTGTCTGAAAACTGCATCAATAGCGGTGTAGCTAATCGCGAGATGATTATGCATATACATACACACATACACCTCCTTTGTTGAAGGTTTGAAGGTCGTATCGGTTCAGAAATCCTGTAGACTACAATTCAAGTTTGTTGGGTGACGCAGTAAGTTCTAATAATGTGGTCTTACCTTCTGACAAAGCATGGTCTGATCTGCAGCGCTGATGCCTAATTCCGGCTCGGTAATATCGCCGACAATCGGGACTATCTTGTTCAACTCTTGGGGCCGCTCTCTCCGTAGGGTCTCGAACAACTGTTGACAACATAGGAATTGTTAAAACTTTTTATTGTTAGAAGAGCTAGGTAGAAGTACGATAGTATAATCATTGCTATCCTATCGAAAATTAATATAAATGTGAAATTGTATTTGTATATAAATTATCATCATCATCAATTCATAAATCATTCGAAATAATCTAAAGTTTTGATTCCTCGAATCTGTTTTCACATTATTTACCATTAATATAAGCACTAATTAAAAGAGCTTTTACTAAAATCTCTCAGCTAAAAGCATGTAATACGAAATTTGGCGATTTTTTCTGATAATACCAGATCCAAATAGTATCTAATTTACTGGGTATCGAACCCGAATATTAATGTCACTTGACGATCACTCGACCAACGTAAAAGTCAAAATGTGAAGACAAATAGACCATTTACTAATATAATATTAACTTCTTACGTCAATAATTCTAATGTTATTCAATCGACTTTGATTATTTAATTTGTAAATAATTAAATATCCAATTTCAAATAGTATTTTGTTTTAATTTGACCAACAAAGACATGACACGCATTTGAAAGTCAAAATATAGAAATCAATGACCGAATTGAATTTTGAATGAAGCGACTATCATTTGAACTTTGAACCCCAAACCATATGATTATTTTATAGTGCAGGACAAACGAGCAGACAGATTACCTGATAAATAAATAAATAATAAAAATCTTTATTTTCTCAAAAATACTCTACGGATACAAATTATAATAATTATATAATACCAGTCTCTTAATTGTAACATATTAATGTTACAATTAAGAGACTGGTATCTGTTAAAGGTATAACCTGTGTTACAGATCACCAGGCCCGGGTGACCCCCGGAGACATTGAACAATATAAAGTATTTACTTAATTAAAGAAAATGGACAACATTGTATGAGTGTGTGTGTGTGTGACTGTGGGTGTGTAACAATGTAGTGTGAGTGCGTGTGTATGTGTATGTAAGTGAGTGAGTTGATGTGTATTATGTGTGGGTGTGTATAGGTAAGTGAATGAGGTGGAAGTGTTGATATGAATGTAGTGATTGATAATTCTGCATCAATATATAATATATATATAATTATATATAATATAATTGATAGTAAGCAATCAGCGTCGCCCATGGACACTCGCAACATCAAAGAAGTAACGAGAGCGTTGCTGGCATTTTTGAGGATTGGGAAGATTGGGGAAGGGGAAATTCGGCATTCCATAACCTCACATGGCGAAACACAACGCAACATGAATATTTATGATGATGATCATCAACGGCCTAAATGCCCACTGCTGAGCAAAGCCTCTTCTCACACGGAGAAGGTTTGAGCATTATTCACCACGCTTGCTCAATGCAGGTTGGCGATTACAGACTTATAATTTTAGATATAAATTATAAGCCCAGGTTTCCTCACGATGTTTTCCTCCACCGTTTGTCAATGGTGTCTAGATAATCTTAGAAAGTACATATAACTTGGAAAAAGTCACATTGGTACTTGCCGTTGGTAGGTTTCGAACCCCCACCCTCATGCATGATAAAGCGGGCCGGGCCACCACAACTATGATGATACCAATCCGCATTGACCAAGCGTCGTGATTAATGCTCAATCTTTCTCCGTGTGAGAAGAGGCTTGGCTCAGCAGTGGGCGCTTATAGGCTATTGATGATAATGCTGATGATGACTCTTAGAAACAACAAATACTGACCGGTGACTGTGTTAGTTCGGTGAGACGTGACGCGACGTCCTGGCCTCGTTTCGGCCGCATCAGAAGGTAGATCTTCTTAATTTTTGGACAACTTCTTAACAGTTTTTCGACCAATACCTGTGAAGAAAAAAAATAATAAGTTTAGTATATTTTTATACTGCTATCGATAACAACAAAGCTTATGGCCCGCCTGATGGTAAGCAGACACAAACCGTAGCCTAAGTACACCTGCAACACTAAATTTTAAGTCGCGATTTAATATAGTTCTGCCACTTAAATTTTTAAGGGGGGTAAATCGTAATATGGCTGCTCCCGCCTGGGTAAGGCAGGAGGGAGTGTCAGACTGTTACTGACTAAAAACCACCCCGTTCCTTCTCCTGCACGTCGAGCCGGAGCCCCGGTAATAGGTTCTCCGCGACATAATGACAGAGATTGCAAGATATTGAAGTACAAATCAATGTTGTGTAGCCTTTCAGTACTCGGGCGTAAAGGTACCACGAGTGCATTGCTGACCATGTAAAAAATCAGTGGGTAAAGTAAAAAATCTACGTAGGTATACCGTCTGTGGACATTTATTACACTTTTGATATCCAACTTGAGAAATGTATCATTAGACCACGGGGAAATAGCCCCTGGGACTACTGCTTGTACGGTATATGCTAAATTTTAATGTCTTGTGAATAGGGTAGATGCCTAATTTTTATTTTAATGCCCGTCTGGTTGATTAATTTAAATCATTAGACACGTATTTTTTTATTTTTTTACATAAACTAATACTTTCGACTATACATTGATTTGAAATGTCGCGTGACGTCACTTCTATGTACATTTTTTACGTAGAAATGACGTTTTAGCCCCTAAACTTTGATTCTTTTTATCTAAGTATTGTTTTATTATATGACAAAATAAAAATAAATACGTGTCTAATATTTTTTAATTACCTAACTTACGGATTTTTAATTTTCATACCCTGTCATCATCCCAATTACTGATATAAGTACATTACTGTTGTTTTCAAGGTGTATATGATTTACGCCTTTCACGCCTTTTTTCCCGAAAGGGTAGACAGAGGTCTACATTATGCCACTGTACTATGTAACACCCACTTTTCACTATTTATGTTATGAGTCCCATGTAATAGGGGGTAAGTCTGTTGCCATATACCTACTGGGCATAATTCCAGACTCCGTGCTACTACTGTGAATTTTTTTGAAAAACCCAGTAATACTTTGCCCGACCCGGGAATCGAACCCGGGACCCCTTGCCGCCCAGTCGCACTTGCGACCACTCGGCCAACGAGGCAGCATTTAAATAAAACAAAAAAAGAAGTACCTACCAATTTTTAATTACAATCCTAACTAGAAAAACGAAAAATTCCCCAACTAAATAAAGTACCAAATATGTAATAAATAACATCACTACTGATTAGAAGTTGTTATCAAAAACAATTTGATAACGACTGTGCTATCTTTGCAAGTATTAACGATTAAAATTAAATATAATCACAAGTACAAGGCCGTTGTAATCTAGACAGGTTCAGGAAACGAGGATTTTTATGAATCTAGTAACCTAATTAGGTAATATAAAAAAAGGTTGATTAAAAGCCAGAGACGTGTCTTTCGGCGTCCTATATATTCACCCTAATGGCTATATTTTACGTTACGTTACGTTGAAAAATAAATGAAAAAAAAAGATATATAATAAAACCATAAAAACTATTAATATATACGACTTAAAATATAAAAAAATAATTTAAAACTAAAATATTTACACCTTAAAAAAATAATAATAAAAATAAATCATAAGGCATCAAAGAAAACATTTTCCTCATCGCTACCGTGAGGTAGGGTGCCCAAAAGACTGGCAGCATTGCCACGTTGAATGGCAATGCTTAACTTTTGCCCAAGGTAGTAGCCAGCCCTTCGATCACCTGAACTGTCAACCATCCTCCTTACAATATCTTTGTAAAGAAGATGTGCTCTTAAATGAAAAAAATGAAATTTTGTTCTCTTGAGTTGCAACACTAGCGCCTCTTAAATAGGGATAAACAGACTGATTGCCTCATTGGCAAGAGGTCTCGGGTTCGATTCGAAAATGATAGCGTCAAACTTCCAATTATTAAAATAAAATATCATGTATTAGTCTTGGCTGCCTCGTTATACAAGAGGTTGCAAATGTTAATGCCGGACAAGGGATCTCGGGTTCGAATTCAGGGTCGGGCAAACTATTACTGGGTTTTTAAAAATAATCTCAGTAGCAGCACGGAGTCTGGAAATCCACCCGATATATGGCAATAGGCTCGCCCCCTATTACATGGGACTCATAACATGAATAGTGAAAAGTAAGTGTTACATTGTTCAGTGGCATTAAGTGCCGTAATGTGCACCTCTGTCTACCCCTTCGGGGATAAAAGGCATGAAGTTATGTTATGTGGATAAATAGAGATACATCCACAATTTTCACCACTTATGCTATGAATATCACGAAGCAGAGGGTGCGCATGAGCCTGTCTGCCGCACTTTAACATCGAAACATCGATAAGTCAAATATACTTCTCCCAACCCAGGAATGAAACTGACAATTACTCAAATTAACTTGTATATTATACCTATATGTGCACTTATCCTGTCCTGGATTAAAATATCCTTTGTTAAACAAAATTACCACCAGAAGGGCATACAATACTCATAGACGTAACACAACGTAACTACTTTAAACCCAACTGGGATGGAATAACGCAAAACTAATCGTTTCCAGTTTTTAACCGACTGCAACGAGTTTGTATTAGTAAGTTAGTTAAGAGTTAAGGTCGTCTACTATACTTGGGTATCAGGTTATCTGTTAAACTCAGTGTGCCGTAACATTACACCTTTTATTAGCAGAAGGGTTTGGCAGAGTCGATGTTATCTATAAATTTTGGATAGATATCCATTTTCGACTTTTTTATGGCATAGGCTGGTAAACAAGCAGACGAATCACCTGATGGTAAGCAATCGGCGCCGCCCATGGACACTTGAGCCACAAGTGCGTCATCGGCCTTTTAGGAATTGGGGATTTGAGAATTGTGGAGGATTCGGAGATTGGGGAAAATGGGGATCCCAGTAATTGGGCCTCCGGTAACCTCACTCACATGACGTGAAACAACGCAAGCATTGTTTCACGTCGGTTTCCTGCTCGGCCATGGTATCACTCCGGTCGAGCTGGCTCATTCGTGCCGAAGCATGGCTCTCCCACACGTATGACATGACTTAAAACACACGAGTTTCTCTCAAAACCCTAAATAGTTCCTAGAAATTTTGAATCGACCTGTTAACTTGTATACCTGCATATTTTGCCGTATTCATATTATGGTCTACAATTTGTTGTTTCGGGTCTGGAGAACATCTACTGAGTGGTAAAAATTTACAAACAACTGCACCAGGGCTCAACCTTGTTGCCGTCCAAACTTTAGGTGCAATTCCAGGCTTTTTACTAATACTAATACCAAAA